CTCGATTATCACCCCTGCAACGGTAATTAAATGGTCGAGCACAGGATTCTTTATGACGCGGTTGATAGGTGATAGGGATTCTGATGTTTTATGAGCCCACGTAGGGGGGTTTCCTGTTGTTAGCCGTTCGTTCATATACTTGTTGCGGCACCGAGATCACGGAGTTGAGGAATTTTCGGGGATATTGTTGTTGGGTGTTGAGATTGTTCGTTTTTGTTTTTCTTTTCTTTGTGGTTAGGTTTTGTGGGTTGCGTCGGTGGGATTGTGGATTACGGGAATGAAATGGAAAAGAAATAAGGGTTTGTTGGATTTTATTGTTTATCGTGTTGCACTTAAATTTGCTTTTTGTTGGTTAGGTTAGGTTGGTGAATGCAATGATTTTTTAAGAGAAATTGAAGGGTTGATGGTGTGTGTTAAATTTTGGAGGATCGTAAATTTTTAAATAGGATAGAAAAGAAGGAATTTGTTGCGGTGGGGTATTGAATAGTATAAAGATTCGCGATAGGATTGTTTAGATATTGGCAAATTGCGGTGAAAATTGGTGAAATTACAAATTTAGGATGATTCGAATTTGATTGGACGATTTTGGAGTAAATTCTAAAATTCGAATTTGATCGGCTAATTCTGAATTCAATTAAAATATTGAAATTTCATTGGCTAATTTTGAATTTAATTTAAGGATTCGTATTTGATTGGCTAATTTCCAATTAACTTTGGAGATTCAAATTTGACTGGCTAGTTTTTAATTTAATTCAAATACTGAAATTTCATTGGCTAATTTTTAGTTTAATTCAAATACTGAAATTTCATTGGCTAGTCTTTAATTTAATTCAAATACTGAAATTTCATTGGCTAATTTTTAACTTAATTCAAATACTGAAATTTGATTGGCTAATTTTTAGTTTAATTCAAATACTGAAATTTGATTGGCTAATTTTTAGTTTAATTCAAATACTGAAATTTGATTGGCTAATTTTTAGTTTAATTCAAATACTGAAATTTGATTGGCTAGTCTTTAATTTAATTCAAATACTGAAATTTCATTGGCTAATTTTGAATTTAATTTAAGGATTCGTATTTTATTGGCCAATTTTCAATTGACTTGGGATATTCAACATACACCTACACACAAAAAGAACGCATAATACTCTACGTAAAGAGTTTCCCCAGAACTCCAAGCTTTCTTAGCCCCCGCAAACGTTCACTTATTCCAACACTAATCTTCCATCAGATCAATCAAAAATAGCCTCGATTAATTTTAAAGCCCCTCGCAAAACCTCTTACAAATACAATCTTATTCTGCAATTTTTTCCCTTATCACCGCAGTAATTACCGAGAATTACTCAACGTTACCTTCACAATATCCAGAATACTCTTCGATTCTCCACGAACGATACGACCGAGGATTTCGCAAAATTAGAAAAATCGCCAAAAAGTATCGCAGCTTTAATTTGAAACGTTTCGGTACCGGTAGCCGCTGTTTCCACGATAAATCGCTAGATAAAGCGGCGTGATTCGTTTTCGAGAGCGCGGCGCGGAGGTGGTGATCGCAGCGCGGAAAGATCGAGAGGAATCGCGGCGAGTGTCGTTCGTCACGATGAAAGAAGAACGGTGATCGATATTTCAGCGGTGGCTATTACCTTCAATTAATGTGAATGTTGCTATTTGTTCCAAAGGCCCGCGGTATTGATTCACTCTCTACCTATATACCGGGTGACTCTGGTAACTGGGCCGAACTGTAACTCTCTCTTCCTATTGAAAATGGAGAAAAATCGCGAAGAGAAATTTCGCGTTATTCGAGACAAGCTCTACTGTCGAGCAGCGCAATCTTTTTGGTAGAAATACGTCGATGTAAATTGCAATTTCGCTTGTTTTTTATATTGGACAGTATTGGAAATTGGTGACTGAAATAAAAATCTCCTTTTATATATCGAATTTGTGTACCTGTTATTAACACGGCTCGGAGAGAACGTCTTTTCTGTAGGAATAACTATTGGGGGCTGTTTTCTGGACACACGAAAAGAGAAAGCTGGGACGAACTGTTTATGCTATTTTATTTCAGTGTTTTTAGAGTGTCTTTACTCTAAGATGAACTCTAAGACATATCTGGTGGTCCTCCTAGTGTCTTTGTTTAGAAAAAACAACGTTGACGAATTTTTCTTCTCAGGCGATATTTTTTATTTAGCTTCTTTAGAAACAATCCAACAGACACCCTATGATTTTTTCTGTATAAATTGAGTTTTGCATTACATCTTGATAGAGGTTGTTGAAAAACGCAAAATTTCCTTTTACAATATTTTTTTGTACTTTGAATGGGAACAAAGTTATATTTTTTTGGTAAAAATTGATTTCTTGCAATTTGCCACTGCACTAATGCACTTACACTACCGGCCAAATTTTTGGAATCACTGTGCATTGCAAGTTACACAAAAATTCGCAGAAAAAAGTCGAGCAGCTTTAAGAATTTTTTAACGAATTTTGTATCATTCAAATCAATCGATTTAAGGTAAATTGCTGTTGATCTCCACAATATCAATTTGAAAACTATAAAAAATTAGTAGCAGATTCGGTACTGATGAAAATTGGGAGGTGATTCACAAACTTTTGGCCGGTGGTGTATGTGAAAAATTGCATTACGTCTTGATAGAGATTGTTGAAAAATGCAAAATTTTCTTCTACAATGTTTTTTTTTTTTTTACTTTAATTGCGAAAAACGTTATAATTTTTTTTGTATAAATTGATTTCTTGCAATTTGCAACTGCACTAATGCACTTGTGTGAAACATTGCATTACATCTTGATAGAGTTTGCTGAAAAATCCAAAATTTCCTTCTACTAATTTTTTTTTTTCTGTATTTCGAATAGGTACACAGTGTAGACTCACCCTGTGTGTATGCATATACGGTTGGTCTCGTGTCGGCGCGCTGCACGAGCGCGTGTTTCGTCGCTGGGCAAGAAAAACTTCTGCATGCTATTGCCCAACCCTGCAAAAATCCCAGCCACCGTCCGTTTTGTTTATCCTCTCAGGCGATTGCAAATATTTGCACATTTTCATATTTGCCGAGCGAAACGAGAATTTTTTATTTGCGGTCGAAAATTTCGTTTAGCTGAAGGGGCTGATTTTTTTCTTTCTTTTTTTCTTCTTTCTCGGAGGAAAAATTAATGGAGCAGCCTTCGAAAAAGCGGTCTGAATAAAATTTCAATTGCGCCTGGAACCAATTACCAAAACATTCCCCTATTTTGTTTTCCGTTTTCAAGCATGCGCTAATTTCAGGAACACGGTATAGTAGAAAGAGAGATTCTTTTCAATAGAAAATTCAGTCAAATTTTCATTTGCTGGTACAAAAACAGAGCCGAAGAAAGAAAGAAAATTTGCGAATTAAATCGACAATTCCCCCAAAATATTATTACTTTCGGGTATTAGCACAAGCGTCAGAGTGTTGGTACAAAAACAGAGCCAGAAAAGCAGAAAATTTGTAAATTGCATTAGCAATTATCATGAAAATATTATTACATTTTTTCGAGCATAAAGAAATAATAATTTAAAGCAAAGAAAGCAACCATAACTTATGCATATTTATTAATTTGTAGCAAACCATAATCTCCGTTTAAATTCCACTCAAGTGAGAAAGAAAACACGTTTTCCGTTTAAAATAAAATTCAGCCGATTCTCCGTTTACCGATGCGTATCTGAAAGGCAAAAGTAATGTTTAGCGAAGGAAAAAATTGCGAGATCAGTGGTGATATCGGACGTCTAGGTGGGAATTGCATAGCGGCGTCGGTGTAATTCGCGGTAACGCGTTACTCGCCGCGGCAAAGCTGCATTAATTGTCTGAATTGTCGTTGCCGGTGGTGGCAGTTCCCAGCTACCGCCCCGTTTTGTAAAGGGCTCGGTTTATGCTTCACGTTCGTAATCGAGTGAATGAGAGAGTGTCATGCGAAATTTGCCGGAGACGTTAATGGAGCTACAAAGACCGCACTTAAGACTCGTTACAATGCCGGCACACGTTCGCTCGCGTTGCCTCTGCTCGTGAAACCAGGCCAATCGAACGGGAGATACGAACGATTCGCCGTGTTAAATTATCCAGCTTGCAAAGGGAACGATTAAATCGACGTTTCGGCTGGTCGATTGCAATGTTCAAAACGCGTCAGATTTTTTTAGGTTAATTTTCAAATTAAAGAGAGAAAAATGGACGGTCGGTCAAGCAGCTCGAGGTTTTGCTCAAACTTCGTTCATTATCAAAAGTGATTCCGAAATTTACATGAAAATTACTCAAACTGGCTCAAATGAGGCTCAAAAAGAATTCTAACGTTGGCTAACAAATTTCTTAAACTAGCTCAAAAGTGGCTCAAAAAGAACTCAAACAAATGGTTCAAACTGGCTCAAAACCGAATCCAACACCGACTCACAAACAGCTCAAAAATGAGCTCAAACAATGGCTCAAAATTGGCTCAAACGTTGGCTCAAAATTGGCTCAAACATTGGCTCAAAATTGGCTCAAACATTGGCTCAAAATTGGCTCAAACATTGGCTCAAAATTGGCTCAAACATTGGCTCAAAATTAGCTCGAGCTCCTATCGCTATAAAACTCACTGTACCTCGAACAACTCGTCCCTTTCCAGCACCCAACCCATCTCAAAATAACCTCATCATCCACCGCAAGACCTGTAAAAAAAAGTAAAAAATTCCCCATAACTATAATCCTCAATAACAACCAGTTACGCCTCGTTCTCCCGTTCCCTCGAATTCCCTGAAAAGTTCCTAGAAAGTCGCGGCTAGGAAGATCATCGGTAGAACCGCAGGGTCATCGCGTTGTGTCCCGCTAATCGAAGAAACTTCTCCCCGGAGAGAGGTGTCCGTGGAATGAAGCGTAACAGAAGCAACACTCTTACACACACAGACACACGTGAACATACATACAGAAAGAGACTGGAAACGATTGAAGAAAGACGATACAACACGGGACGGTTGATCGTTGGCAAGACGGAAGCGGGCCGACGCGGCGCGGCGTTCGAACGAAACGCGCAGCTTCATAACCGAGTTATCGTGAAATTTTATATCCGCCTGCTCGTACACTTTCCTTGGCCATCCACTCATCCCCTCTGACCTCGTTTCCGGCATGCTTGCCGTCATAATCCCTGGTCCTCCTTCGTCCGCCCTCTCTGCCGCCTCCAACCAGCCAGTTCGACACTCTCTCTCTCTCTCTCGCCTGGCACGTCGACAACAGTGCCCCTCTACCTGTACCTTCTACCTCCTTCTTCCTCTACCTCCTCCACCTCCTCGCCGCTCGTTAAATCCCGATTAAAAAGTCAAATTAAGAAATCGAGTTACGCGCGGCTGCCGCTCGTCAGGTGTCTCGTTAATATCGCATTGTCGCGAACGGAAGGGGGCGAAACGAGGCTGACGATGCTCTTTCCGCCCTTTCGCTCAAAGTCGCTGTTCTCTTTTCCCCCTTTCACCCGGTTTTGCTTTTGCTTTCTTTACCTGCCCGGCAAACGAAGGGGGTGGAGAGAGAACAGTCGTGGTTATTGAATTTCGCGAGCTGGCTTCTTCACCGTTTTTATCTCGTTTATCAACGCAAATTTCGTGCTTCGCGAAATACACCGTGGCAACCACGTTACTGTATATATATATGTACACACAACTGAATACCCCGAAAGGAGCGAGGGGTGGATATTCAACGAGTACAAGAAGTCTTTTCCCCTGTCGCAGAATACCTGACCGCTCAGTCCCAGGACACTACAGCGACAACGGGAACTAGAACGGCGGTGCAGGACTCCACGAAGGAGAAGTTCAACGAGCCCGACGATGTGGACGTCATCACGACATCGTCGACAGCAACGAGCAACATCTGCGACGCAGCGGAACCTCTGGCAACAGCACGAACGGAGGCGACATCGGTGATCGCGACGATTACAGGCTCGTCCACCTCTGTGTTCACACCAGCGGTAACAGAGTCGATCAGCTCGAACGTGGAGACCACCACGACGACGATCACCACGTCCACGTTGCCCTTCACAGCTCCGAGATCGCCGTCCAGAACAATCCACGCTGACCATCAGCAGCACGCGAACGTGCTGCATAATTCGCCGCCGAGGGTGCCGTCTCCTCCTTCGAACACCGCCGCAACGTATCACACGGAGGAAAACACGGATCATACCACGTCCGAATCGAGGATAGGATCGAACAGCGGCAGCAGCGTGATCACCAGTTATGTGTCTTCGATGTTCAAAGATCGGTCAGCCGCGGAGACAGAGGCTGCACACGATTTACTCGAGCTGTCGAGGTCGTTGCCCCCGCTACCACCACCCAGCGTTGCTATCGGACCGCAAAGCGTGATAGAGTCGCCGGCGACGGATATTCAAGAGATGACGGTGTATCAGCCCGATCAACCGATCTACCAGGTGAACACGATAGACCTGGCTGGCTCTACGGTGTACACGCATCATCCGCAACAGCAACCATCCACAGCGAGCATCATCTACGAGCCCAGCGCGACTATAGTCCAGCAAACTGGCAGCGTGTTCATCCCATTGTCGCCTGTTCAAGAGATTCTGCTTACTTATAGCGCGCCGTCCATACCGTGCACGCCGATCATCGCCCAGCAGCAGCAACAACTGCCGCAGCAGCAACCGACGTTGCAACAGCAACAACAGCATCATCAGGCGATAGAGGCGGCGCCTCCGTTAACTCCACCTACGTCAGAGTGCAGCAGCGATATCGAGAATAACAATCCTAACTCGCAGCCGAGTCAGAAGGACAAGGAGGTGCAGACTGTTACGGAACAGACAGAGGTGAAGCCGGCTAGCTACACGTACGACACTTTACTGGTGGCTGACGGTAGATCGAAGAACAAGAAAGTCGTGCCAAGTCAGAAGACGCAGGAGGCCGAGCCGGTTGAAACGCCCGAGACGTCGAAGATCGGACGATATGTTTGTTGCGAGTGCGGTAGGTTTTCTGGGGATGTTGGTGGGGGTAGCGGTAGTGGGGAGGGAGGCTATAGTCTGAGCGGAATATATTGGTCGCTCGAGGTCGTTCACCTTGCTTCATGCTGTTTGCTCTTTTGGTGGTTTCTTTGTGGAACATTATTGAACATTTCCAGTTCTACCGTTCCTTTTTGCGGGAACTTAGTTTGCGCTTTTTGTAAGAGGATGTAGAGTGTGTAAGGAAAGTTTCTGGACTCTGAGTTTAATAATTTATTGTGGCGGAATGGAAGGTGGAAAAGAGGAAAGCGTGATTATCGTAAATTTTAGACATTTGACGTCACTTTGGTTGCCAACTTAAGCTTTCATTCTTTCCTCGTCACTAGACCGCGGAATTTTACGCAAATTCATATTTTTGCTTATTATGCGCATTCTGCGTATTTCTGCGCCTCCAAATTTTCCAGAAATACGTAAAAATTCGCAGTCTACTTATCGCTATCCTCCGTTCCATCGCGATAAATTATTATACGCAGTCTCCTAACTTTCCTCGCACACTGTAGAATTTAGCGTACACAACCTCCCAAATTCCATGGAATCACTTCTACTCACGCCCAAAATTCCCTGTTTTTCAGGCAAACAGTACGCGACCTCGTCGAACCTGTCGCGGCACAAGCAGACGCACCGCAGCATCGACTCGCAATCCGCGAAGAAGTGCATCCACTGCGGCAAAGCGTACGTGAGCATGCCTGCGTTAGCCATGCACGTGCTCACGCACAAGCTGACACACAGTTGCGGCGTCTGCGGCAAGATGTTCTCCAGGCCTTGGCTGCTCCAAGGCCATCTGAGAAGTCACACCGGCGAGAAGCCATACGGTTGCGCGCATTGCGGCAAAGCGTTCGCCGATCGCTCCAATCTACGCGCTCACATGCAAACACATTCCGCGGACAAGAACTACGAGTGTCACAAATGTCACAAATCCTTCGCGCTCAAGTCTTACCTGAACAAACACCTGGAGTCCGCCTGTCAAAGGGAGAACGAAGAAACAGGCAACGAGATCGACGTTCCTCAGTAGTTGCTCGTCCAAACTATGGAGGAACGTTTCCTTGGCGAAATTGTCGTTGATAGCCACCAGGTACATAGTTGAACACCTTGTTTTCGGCGTGAAGGTAGAATTCGAGGTAGTTTGGGATATTTCAGGGAGGATGGTTATCAGTGTTTGACGAAGTTTGACGGATTAGAATTGCTAATATTGTTAGAATGGAATCTGTGAAAGGTGCTTATAGACGGCTGGGAGAGGATAGTTTTGAGTTGGAGTGTTTGAGAAAGTTTGACGAGGTAGAATCTTATGGGGGATTGTATTAGTTGACTGAAAGTTGTGATTGAGAATGTTTGGATAGGTTATATAATTGTACAGACTTATGAATGATACCGAACTGGAGAGTTTGAACGTGTTCGAGTAAGCCGGTAGTGACTGGAACCTTTTAGAACAGTCTTTTAACTCTTTGGGGCATAGTAAAAAGTGTCCCACCTTTTTAGTACTTACATATGCACAGTGGGATGTTTTTCATTAAGAAAACAAAACTAATCTAATTTAACCTGTTTTCACAGATTTCACGGTGAGATTGTTTATGTCCCACCTAATAATTAATTATCTCAACGTTCTTTTTTAAGTTTCATTCGTTTCATGTCGTAATTCAAACCTACTTTGTCACATTTTTTTAAGATAAAATTCCTGTGCAAGTAGAGTCTGTTTATGTCTTAAAATTCCGTGCTTCAAAGTGTTAATCGAACAGTCTTATTTGGTATACCGGAGAAATAAGTAACCTCTGAACTTCTATCTTTCAGCTTGCGACACGCCAGGCAAACCGGATGCGAGGCGAAATTTCCCAGAGGTGCAAAACTCGTCCGGCGTGGACGACAGTGGGTCAGTTCAGTTTCGTCTGGAATTCGATAGTTTCAACGGTGACGGTGAATCCCCCCTGTCCCTGAGAAACTCTCGAAAATCTTCACACAAGCGTACATCGATCGAGCCACGCGAGAGAGGAAACAGGTCGTCCACGAAACAACAGAAATAACACCGAGCGTTCGACGCCACAGGTGATCCTTCGCCTTTCATCGTCCATTGAACATCGAACTTCCAGTCTGTGGGTAAGCGAAACGTTCTCAAACGCGTTCCAAATGGCTGTTCAAATCGCCACGAGACTGTCGAGGAACAACACGATCGCTTGATCACAGGTGAAAATCCGACACACTTTCAACAAAAAGAAGGCGAACGTCGAAAAGAAACATTCGTCGATTAAACCAACGTTTTCGAGGTTGTTCGAAGAATCTCGAACGTGCGTTGTAGAGAGGACAAGAAGGAAAAGAAAGAAAGGTTGTCCTGATAACTAATAAGGAGAGACAGAGAGAGAGAGAGAGAGAGAGAGAGAGAGAGAGAGAGAGGTCCCTGGACTCTCTCCGTTCGTCCTCCTGGGTGAAATCGATATTCGCCTAGGCATCAAGGGAAACGAAACGGCGCTGGTTCGTTCCCGACGCGAAGGATCCAAGGGAGAGACAGATAGAGAGGCAAAGGGCGCGGAAAATGAACAGCGCGGCGGGGGATCGATGCAATACTATCGAGGGACCATCAATTTGTGAGTAAAATTCATTTGGAATGGTGGAGAGTCGGTTGGAAAACCGGGTCAACTCGAATCAAAGAGCACCGAGATCCGATGGGAAACAATGAACGCCCCGAGCGCGTCGACTTTTATCAGAATCGCGACGTCCTCTTTGATACTCGCAGGTTTTTTAACAGCCTCGCGCGGCAATTCGTGTCGTTTTCTCTTCTTCTTCTTCTTCTTTTTTTATTCACAAGCACTTGCTTAGATATTCGAGGATTCTCTTATATGTATATAGTCTCTGTGAGGTTAATTTGCTGTCCAAGGTCATCGACGTTGTTACTTGCAATGTTTCCTTTTCACGCCTCGCCGTTAGCAATAAGAGTGAATTCGTGGTACATTTCGGAATTCGTGATTGTATCTCGAAGCGACGGAAGTGTACGGCGAGATTGGAGTATGATTTGTGGTGGGGGCGAGTGACCTCGAGCAGCTAATTGATTTCGAACGAGTTATAGAGAGTGTATAGTCGGTGGAAGCGATTTTGCGAGGTCGTAAAATCGAAACAGCAGTTTCAGGGAGATAAGGAGCTCTCGAGCCTCGTTCGACCCCGTCAACTCGGAATTGATTTTTCCGTTGCGTTAATTCTTACCAGTACCGCTAATTACCGTTATACACTAGGCAATGGGGGCTCGACGGGGTACAATTTTATTGAAAAAAAAAGAACGAATAGCCTTTGAAGGCGACGAACTCGTATACGTTCACGAAACAAAGAAAGCAATAAATACTGTTGGCGTTTAAAGTTGAAGAAATTAAAAATTAAAGAAATTTTCGTTTAATTGAATTAAAGAACAGTCGAAGCAGCGATGTAGCATTTCTCCTTCCAGAAAAATAACGCTTTAACGTACGACTGACTGTGTCGCTTCCACAAACTATACATTTCGCTTTTGACCAAATTTCCAGTTTCTCCACTTGGATAATTCCTCGAACAAGATATCTCGCGACTCAATCTCCCTCGTTCGACACTTCAAACGGAAAATCTCGCGTTCCGGCAAAAAGACACGCGAGATATCCCATCGAAATCGTCGATCAAACGAAAGCCGAACCTTCGAAAAATCTATTCGCGTCAAATCTCGTCTGTATACGCGAAAAAATGAACTTCACTCGAGATATTCGGAATTTCGCGAAAAACGTCGCCGCACGACCTTAATTTCGCCTCGAGGCGTTCTTTTTCCAAAACTTCCTTCGACGCCCTTCGCGGCGCAATGCTCCTCGCCTATTGGCCGCCGCAACGGAGGAGTGGGGAGGGAGTGGGGGGCACACGTCGAAGGTTTTCATCAACATTTCACGTAAACTGGACCACCTGTTGAATGCAGGAATGACCATTCGGTGGCGAAAGGGTCGCTCGTTCTGCTCCCCTGAATTATAGAACATCCTCCTGTAATTTCCTCGTTGTTAAATATACGCGGACGAGATCGCAATTTTCCGATTCCCGTACGTATAATGCATACGTCGATACAGACAGGATTCAACGAGGCGAAGAAAATTTCATCGCTTCCTCGTTCGAGATATGTACATTCTCTCTCTTAAATCCCTTTAACGAACACATACAGCAGGTTCGTATCTAGTCAAATGATTTCCAATTTTTTTTTGGTAGAACGATGATGGCAAACCTAGTCGTTAGAATATTTCGCGGAGCCAGATGGATATTTTTTTCTACGCTAGATTAATTAGAGCTTGTTAATCGTTCCTAGTCGTTAGTGGGTATTATTTATCGTTCTATTTATTTCTACCTAACACCTAGTTTCACCTAGGACACTTCTCCCCGAATTGTGATATTAATTTAAACGAAAGTTCGTCGAGAGTAGAGAACGGGACGAAAGGAATGTTCAGCGTTCGATGACAATTTTGTCTCGCCGAAGAGGAAACGATACCAAAGAGACGAAGCACACCGAGGAGATAGAAGAAGAATGAAGTATAAATGAAGTAAATAAGAGACTTTAACGCTCTAGTCAGCGCCGAGAGCTACACGCTTCAATTGTATCGTTTTTGATCGTTAGGTTTCACCCGGCCCTTTTGGGGCGCCAATTGTATAATAGGCGGAGCGGAGATCTCTTCTTAATTGATTTTCGTCGTGTCGCTGTTGCTTTTACACGTGTGAAACGCGTTTTTTATATATATGACCGTAGATGATATTTTGGTACGAGAGGTTTTCAGCGATTTTAGACGACTTAGCGGTTACTCGAGTATCGGTTAGTTCGCGTTAAGTAGTTTTAACGAGACAGAGGAACAAAGAGCTTTAGCGGTTTAAGTTTGTAAGAGAAGATGAAACGAAGCAAAAAGGGAAAAAAGTGGAGAGAGAGAGAGAGAGAAGAAAAAGTCCGTTTCCTCGCTCCGTCTGTTTAACCTCCGTTTTAAAGGAGTACACTTCTCGATCGTCGATCGAACATTTCAACTGTCTGCGCTACATTCGATATCGGTGGACGTGCACGTGATTCGTCAAATTTTTTCAAATGTTTAAAAGCCGAGTGAAAAGAAAGAACGATCCTTTAGAATGGTGAAAAAGAAAACGGGAGTGAAAAATTTGCGTCACGTGTACTCTGTGCTGGTAAGTACGTTTAACTTTAACACTAGAACTACCGAAACCGTGAAAATGACGGATTTCAGATTTCTTACTTGACAATTACAGAAATTATTCAGACGCTTTTGTTCAAGTGTAGGTACGTGTATAGTCTGTTTTGTTGAAACGAAGAAATTATACACTACCGAGCAAAAGTTTTGGTACCACCTCTCAATTTTCATCAATACTGAATCTGCTACTAATTTTTTATAGATTTCAAATTGATATTGCGGAGATCAACAGCAATTTACCTTAAATCGATTGATTCGAATGATAAGAATTCTTAACGTTGCTATTTTTTAAGGAAATTCTTGTATAACTTGCAGTGCACAGTGATTCGAAATTTGTGGCCGGTAGTGTGTACGCCAATTTATTTTCCATCGAAGATCGTAATTCTGCGAAGTTCCAAGAATATTCCAGAAAGGTAGAAAATTTGTCACGTTGAACTCCGGTGGTTCTAGTGTTGAAAGTCAGAAATAGACTTGCCTAACGCTTCTAGATTGGCTGTTAAACGTAGGGATAAATAAATTCGGTTATTTTTGCACGTTCTCGTAAAAAATTCAATTACGATCGTAATATAAGGTTCCTAGTTGTAGTAGATTTTTTCTCCTTATTGTTCCTTCTTCGGGGAATTTGAATTGTCGTTTAATTGAACAAAGAGTTAAGCAAAGTCTGATTCTGGCTACACGTGTTCCAAAGGAAAGGCAGAGAAAAAGGGAACAGTTCTACGATTGTCCCGTTGTACACGTTCGCTTCCATGGGACAAAGCAATTTTACTACGTCTACGCCTATGTCGTGAAACCGGAAGCGACCTGCGCTCGAACAGGTCGGACGAATGGCAAATTTGATCGCACCTTTGAATGATACTCGAACAGCAAACCAGAGCCGCGTCTTCGTGCTGTTATTACAATACTCGACAGTCAATCGAATCTCTAATCAATTAGAGTTAACCTCGTAACGATAGTCAATAATGAAACAAAAGAGAAAAGAACTATATGGTTATCGAAGTAAAGAAAAGATTAAAAAAAAAAAAAAAAGACGAAGAAGAAACACACCGTTCATTCGCCACCGCGACGAATTTTAACGAGAGGCAACTTTTAAAACCGACATTGCGATATTCAGATCGCGACGTGTGAAGCTTTTTTTAGTTGAACTTTTACAAACGAAAGGAAAAGAAAAAGAAGCGAACAAAGGAGAAGAAAACTCAGCGAGCAATTCTCGTCGAGAGATCTATCTCCCTCTCTATCCTACTGTTCATTTTGAAAACCTTTTGTATCGATAATCACCGTAAAATGGTGGACGATAAATGTTGAAAAGTGTCATTAGTTCGAAAAACGGGAAGAATCCACTTGGTTCGCTTTAAATTGTTTCATCTTACAAACGGCGAGTTGTCTTTATCAGTTTCGTTAACGTTATTTCCGTGTTTCACATATTCGAAAATATACGTACCCCGAGAAGTTCCCGAAATGTACGCGCGACTGTGTCGCCACGCCGTGACCCGAGGAGTGGGGGAAGAGTGGGGATAAGCGCCGAGTAGATTCTTCCCTAACTATATCAGACGCGCGCCGCGTAACTTCCGAAACAAAATAGTAACACACTTCTCACGAAGATATTTCGTCGCGTATATTTTTCGACAACGGCGATTTTACCAATGTTGTGCCTCGGCGAGAACGTTGCTCGGCTCGAGAAGATCCTCCTGTTGTGAAACGGAAAAAAAAAGAAATTCGTCGCCGTCTCGAAGAACATTTTCAGCGTACGAAGAATGTTCTCCGAGCTAAGGTATACTTAAGTACGCAGCTTCGTGGGCTTTTGCCAACGGTGATTTCACGGCACCGTGTAATGAATCAATTCGACGAGACGGGAGAGAATGATGTGCTAGCAAGCCGCAGAACTGATGAACTCGCGAAAAAAAAAAAAGAAAAAAAAAATACAAACTAACGTTATAGATCGTCGCTGTAGTGTAAAAAGAAAGAGGGGGGAAAACGAATGTGAACGAAAGCGAAGGGAGAAAGGCAACAAAAATTCCCCCGAGAAAAAGAAAAAAAGAAAAAAAAAGAAGAAAGAAAGAGAAGAGGTATAAGGAAAGAAAGAGGGAAAAAAGAGGGAACGATAAATGGTGGGTTGTAATTATTAACGATATTTAAACGGGGGCAGTCGACGCTATTTTTTAGATACGCAAACGATTTAAGCCAGGACCCAGGACGATCATGCCTCGTACAACACGTTTCTCGGTCCAGCGAGTAGAAAATTTTTTCGAAGTCGAACGGTGAGAAAAAACACATCCAACGTTTATTATAGATGTGCGCTCGAATTTTTCGAATCCGGTTGAATAACGTGCGCGCGCCGCGTGTACGACGATCGAGTCTCGGAGTAACATTATCTCGCGATACCGCGAGAGTGTTTCAGAGAAAAAAAGAAAACGAAAAAAGTATCATGGCTGGTTCAAAGAATTTTGATATAAACGGATCGGATTAACATTTGTCTCGGAATATTTATCGTACCGAATGATGAAATTGTCCACAGATTTCTTTTTTTTTTTTTTGGAGAACTTTTTAAAAACCTCTTTTTCATAATTCGTATCACGTTATCGTTATAACTGACCCAAATCCTCCTTGCATTCCTCTACCGAACCTCAATGCTAGACGATTTAATAATTCTTCTTTTTTTTTGTTCTTATACATATGTCGTTGTTGATAATTGCTCGGATTCGCGTCGTACACGCTACCGTGACGAAGCCACGTTTAACAGAATTTTTCTAGCAGAGTAACACCTCCATCCCCTCCCACTTCCTTACCCCCTCCCCCCAGCCCCATCCATCCAACTGGTGGCGAAACGTGATTACAAACGGAACCTTTGCGAAATTTTAAGGATAAACGAGAACCGAAGAACCGAGGAAAAAAGAAAATAGAGAAACGGAATAAAAGCGAGGGATGAGACATTCGTTTTTCTTTGTTTCCGAAAGACCGATCGCCATTTCGACTCGTCGCATAATTAAGCGTTTTAGAAGACTCTAAAGAGGACCAAAAGTACTTACTTAAACGTAACTAGCCGTGGGCGCTGTTAAACGCACCGATAAAACGTAATTAATCGTCGCCTTTCGTGGTGATACACGCTGTCAATAAAAGGAAACACGAGTATCACAGAGACAGGAAGATGAACAAGGATGTGTGAAGGAAAGATGGAGGAAAGGATGAGATTAGCGCGCGAGAGTGTTGACTGTTTAAAATTACGTACGTTCGAAAACACGGTAAAAAAGAACAACGAAACCATCGTGACAAAAGATTGTCCGCGTAACTATAATTAATTAAACTTACTAGACCGAATATGCACGATATATGCTATGTGTATGTGTATATGTACGTGTTTTTTAGTCGAATTTCGCTACACCGAAACTTTTCGCGAGAACGATCGCCTCTAATTAATTTCAATACCCGTGACGTGATGTTTTTGCGAAAGTTCGATCGAGCTTAATGTTTTCGAATTGGTTAATATCGGCGGTCCCCCTACGATGATGTCGCTGTTACGAGTATATAATTCATAACTTTTTACTCCTGTCTTATTAGTTTCAATTTAACGCGTGTTTAAATGCGACATTCTTTTTTACCATAGATCGATATAAAGTCACGATACAATGATTACTATCGATTCCACTTACTTATGCTTCATTTTCAAGGCTTTCTAAATACATAAAAATAAAATTATTAGCGACGACACAGCGGGACGTGAAAAATGAATTATCCATTGCACGTTAAACGCATAATTTGCAGGTACCGGATAAGAAACAGGTTAACCTTTAATAAATCCAATTATGAAATTAATTAGAGCGCGATCCGGCCTCGCCTCCGTACGCGATAATTTAGATTTCGCTCGAGTTTCATGCAGAGTCGATAAGTACGGAACCTGTACGTAACCTGCGCCATCGAATTGTTTCGCAAGCACACACACACACACACACACACACAAATACCAACACACATGAACATAAAGGTGATACGAAGCGAACGTTGAGACAAATATACGCTTTCGTGAAACAGAACTCCGCAGAGAAGCAGGCATGATCACCAGTAAACCTGGCTTTTGTGAAAAGGTTAAAAAAAAGAGGAAAAAAGTGAAAATGAGGAAAAAAAAGGGAAAAACGTAAGGTACACCAAAAAACATAGGATTTAGATTAGTGTGATACAAGGTACGACAAAGCAATAATTTAGTGATTGTATGATATATTTGATTAGTGAGTTAGCGAGCTAAGTTTAATGGTAAACTTTCGAAACCTATAAATACCTACTCGATAAATCGTATAGTTTTGTAGAAACGCTGAGAAGATTCGCCACTTCAGAAATGAAAAACCAAAAAAAAAAAAAAAAAAAAATTGAAAAACGCTGTCTTGGGATCAAGGATATAACGACGAAGGTCAGGAAAGGTTAGTCAAATGCGTAAAAAATTAACGATCGATGATAAAGTTGTTTTATTTATCCCGTTTGTTACACCTCTTCATCGAAGAATAAATATTTTTTCATCCTGTCAACAGTAATACATAAACATTGCTTATAATGCATATTAACTACGTTAATTCCGGGATATGCATTCGGAAATCGATGGTGAACAATTGAGGTCTTCCGTTTTTAAACAAAATGCACGCTCAGAACTATTTACGTAATCGCACAGTATGTGACGAAAAAAAAAAACGTGCGAAAAAGCCAATGGAGGAGAGAATTATGTCACTGTTCTTATATTTCCAATTATTTTTTATGGGAACAATAACACGGGACTCGCGTAAATGTAAACACGGCAAATTTCTCGATCGAACAGTACTTATCCTCGGGGCTAAACGTTCAAGTAATATTCCCAAGGGCGTTTCGGCTCATAAAAATAAATTTTAAAGGAAATCCCAAGACTGATAGTGGATATATCGAGATGCATGCACATGTATTACTCCGATTTGTTTAAACTCATGTCTAAACGAGCTCAAAGCTTATCTTATGGAAGTCGTTTTTAAATGTTCTAACTTCATGAATAATGAGAGATGGAAAGGAAGGGGAAGAGAGAGAGAGAGAAAGAGAGAGAGAGAAAGAAAGAGTGAGTGAGTGAGTGAGTGGGGGAGAATGTGGACGAAGGTCTGCAATTTCCACATTCATGGACGCATCTTGCTCTCTTTTTAGTAGATTTTTTTTTAATTCATAACTTATAATTTATTCTTTATCATTAGTGATGTTCTGTACCTCGTGCTAATTGTTAAGTAATTTAATTTTAAAAACACTTGTCAGAGATATATAATAACGAAACATGATGTATTCATGACAACACAAGGTACAACAAGGGTAAAAAGTTTGTTCCTAGAGCCATGAATTTCACTGGCAAGAAAAGACCTTCGTCATATTAAAGCAGTTTCAGTCTTGTCATAAACGAGTATATGTATATGGCCCTTCGTATGCAAGGAATGCAAGTAGAACCATTTTTATTTTCTTCGATCGTTTTTTTTTTTTATCGAACAATGTAATTTTAATATAGACCAGGATCCAATTTACGCATATGCGGGCACGCGTTATTTTTCATTGGAACACACCACAGGAATTCCGCCAAAGCGAAACCCAAAAATTAGCGATAAAAAAAGGTAACATAACAAATTTATCAATGTACTTACAATACTTAAGGATAAAAACAGTTTAATTGCACTACATTTGTAAACTTTATTAATTATACGTTGGAAAAAAATGACGTGACGAAAGCTGTTATTTATTTCACCCCCCCCCCCTTCTCACTCCATTTATTTAGTCTTAATAAAAAAAGAGAATCACGAAGTTTCCTTTATTTTATAAAGTAATCGCTCTTTACATAAGTATTCGATAATTTTATTATTATTCGATTTTTATAAAGTTACGTAACCCTCGCAGCTACCGCGCTACAATTATAAATACAACAATGCAAAAGGTTTTTTAATAATTTATATTCAGTACTGCACACATTTTACACAACTTGACTCTCATTATAAAAGGCTCTGTTATACAATAGACAATGCAGGTGTTGAAGACGGGAAATACTAAATTAATGCGGGGAAGGTGTTTATCTTGCAATATAGGACTTACTTTCAATGGTGTTTACAAGCTTCACAATGTTGCAAATCATATCGTTATTATAATTGATGCAATCAAATGTGTACTTGTGTATTGCTACTTATTACAATTATGTACTTCAAACTATAATACAAAGTACTTAACAGGCTATAATCCATAACAGTATGGTTTATAATCGCTGCTGCGGCTGTTTTTGAGTACTATCCGAAACTGTTTCTGATGTTGAGGAAACTGCGCTTTCATCCTTCTTCTCACTATCCCTAGATTTGTTCCATTCCTGTAAACCTTTTGGTAAAGATGTGTCCTCTTCAAATGATCCCGTACCCTCCACAAATTGTTCGTAAGTTGACTTTTCAGGGAATGGCCTAGGTCCAAGTAATTCTATCATGTCATCTCTACTTAAAATTTCTTGTTTTAATAACCGTTCGGCAACCTGAAAAAGATTGCAAAATCACCCGTTTTATAGTACAGTCGTAAAAATCGATGTATTCCTTGAATAGATTACACGAAATATTCTATACTTTGGCTACATTCTCCTTGTGCTTCATAAGCAGATCACGTGTATGATCATGCGCTTGTTCGATTAATATGCGTACTTCAGCGTCGATAAGTTGTGCAGTATGCTCAGAATAGGGTTTATCGTAAACCATGTCACCTGGTTGTGGCACTTGAAAACTGACATTGCCAACCTTTTCGTTCATACCATACTGAATGACTTGAGCATACGCATTTGACGTTACCTAAAACAAAAAAAATTTAAACAACATAAATTCTATATAAATATAATAAAAATATTTATATAATAAGATGATACTTTTTGCAGATCGTCTTGCGCTCCTGTTGTTATGCGACCGAAAAAGATTTCTTCAGATACTCGTCCTCCAAGCGCCATGCACATTCTATCGAATAACTGTTCCTTTGTATAAAGATACTGTTCGTGAGGCAAATACTGAGCGTAACCTAAACCTTTCCCACGAGGAATTATGGAAACCTGTCGTATAAAAGATGTAAACAAAATTGAAATGAAATAGCAATTACATCCTGAAGATCAAAAAGTTACCTTCAGAAGCGGATCTGCGTACTGCAAAAACCAGCCTGCTACTGCATGACCAGCCTCGTGATATGCAACTGTCTTTTTTTCTTCGGGTTGCAAAACATTTGTCTTCTTCTCCATGCCTGCAATAACTCTTTCAATGGCTTGTTCAAAATGTTTTAAGTAAATATTGTCGTTCAAATCTCTTGCCGCTATTAAAGCTGCTTCATTGCAAACATTAGCAATATCAGCTCCTAAAATGATCAATTTATAGTGTTCAGAATGTACAATTTCAATATTCTTTTGTATCAATTTCATGGACTAATTTCAGTTTTCATACCTGTGAAACCAGGTGTTAGGGAAGCCATTTTTCTAGATAACTGATCTTTATCTATTGTAGTTTTCAATCGTTCTAAATGTACTTTAAAAATAGAAGCTCGACCTTTGATATCCGGTGCAGAAACATAAATTTGTCTATCAAACCTTCCAGGTCGTAACAATGCTTTATCTAAAATATCTATTCTATTGGTTGCTGCCAACACAACTACATTGGTAGTTGTATTAAATCCTGAGAAAAAAACATTACTCAGTTAAGCACCAGTTTAATACAATAGCCAATATTATCAACTATTATAACGAACCATCCATTTCAACTAAAAGTTGATTAAGTGTATTTTCTTGTTCTGAATGGCCGCCAAAATTTCGGCCTCCTCTCTTTCTTCCAACAGCATCAATCTCATCAATGAATAATATACAGGGAGCATGTTTTCGGGCCATGGAAAACATGTCACGAACCCTTGATGGACCAACACCAACAAACATTTCCAAAAATTCCGATCCCGACACACTAATAAAAGGTACATTTGCTTCTCCAGCAGTAGCCTTAGCTAATAATGTTTTACCAGTACCCGGTGGACCTGTGGAATTAAATAGTTTCTATATTATTATCTGAACTTGATACTAAGCAAGAAATTAGACAAAATTATTTATCACTAAAATGATTATTTACCCGTCAGCATTGCGCCTTTGGGAATCTTGGCACCTAGGTCCATGTATTGTTGTGGATTTTTTAAGAAATTTACAAATTCCATAATTTCTATTTTGGCTTCTTCACAACCAGCAACATCCCTAAATTTTCACAATGTACACAGAAATATTTACAGTAATTTTGCATCACAGAAATGGTAAATCAAACATTACTGGAACATGTTCTTCTCAAAAGCTGCCATACAATTACATACAACTTTTCTCTACTCTACAAATTGATATTTTATTTATTCTCTTATCTGCATATTCGCTTTTTTTAATCTGACTTTGTTATTTAATATGTCTCATTTTCTCTTTGCTCATTTCATTCTAAAACATTCTAGGTATGGCAAAAGGGTGCAGAATAGAAGAAAATTGGCTACAATTTATCAAAATTTTTTGAAATATCATAATAATACAACACTGTATAACGGTGCATGTATGAACTTACTTAAATCGAACACCAATATCTTTGGAATTGATTAATTTTGCAGTTGATTCCATTAT